TCTATCTATCTATCTATCTATCTCTATCTATCTATCTATCTATCTATCTAACACACACACACACACACACACACACACACACACTCATCATCAGTTTTTGTGGTATGTTTGCCTTTCCGCCTCTACCCCAATTTTTCTAAGTATTTTTGTATCCCCAACTGAACACCTTTAAATAGTGCCAAACAGTCGGTGGTTCCTCGTTTGGAGTGCCTACTGCACTCTTATGGGGGCCACTCAGTTCGGGATGTCTGTGTTGCCTGTAGGTGATGACAGATGAACGTCGGAGTGTCCCCCTGGCTCAGTGGGTGGTGGGAACCAACAGTCTGTGGGGTTCACCCGTGATGTGAGTAGGTGATGTGCTGCTTTGCTCCGTGTTGGATGTGTGGACGGCCTCGTCTGCGCTCCGCCACTGCCTTGCTGCCCGTCCCGCTTGCCTCGCAGGTCGTTCTTGGCAAGCTGCTGTCTTCGCTGTGTGGTGTGGCCGGGTTGTGGTGTTGCCTTGCGCTTCGCTGCTCTGCTGCCTCGCTTCCCTTCCGCTGGTCGTGCCTTCCGTGTCCTTTGCCTGCGCGTCGTGTAGTTTGGCTGCCGTGTTGGTGTTGCCTTGTGCTTCACAGCATGGTTGCTCTGCTGCGTGTACGCTCGCCCTGTCGTCCCTTGCAGTGTGGTTGTCTTGGTGGTGTTGCCTGGTGCTTCACTGCTTGGTTGCCTTGTTGCAAGTCCTGCGTGCTGTGTCTTTCCTTGCAGTCGTCTTTGGTGTTGTGCGGTTGAGTGGCTTCGGGTGTTGCCTGGTGCTTCACACGGGTGCCGCTCGCTGCTATGTTCCGCTTGTGGGCAATCTGCCTTCAACAAGGGTCAAAGGGTTCATGACCCAAAGCATCCAAAGTCGGTACTCCGCAGATTGTCGAGGGTTCAGCCTCCTGATGAGTCGGTGCAACTCCGACGAAACAATCTTTCATCACCAGCTTTTTTATTTTTTATTTTTTGCGGTCCTTCGACTATCTTAGGACTTGTATTTTTTTTGGGTGTGCTTGTATGGCATTTGTCCTTCTGCTCCCCCGTGCCCTCCAGCATTCGTCCTTGCTTGTCCTCTGTGCTTATGTATTGTCTGCCCTCCCACCTCCCCCTTGCCCTCCAGCCTATATGTTCATTCACACTGTATGGCAACCGCTCCATTTGCACGGCTACGACGTACTCTAAAGCGCCTCGGATGCACCGCCTAACTCGTTCCATTGTTGATAGACTTCACCTTCCCTGCCAGGATTCCGTAGTGTGCCGGCCAAGCTAGTGCCGGAGCTCAACCATCCACAGTCATAGCGTTGTATGGTGTGCATAATGTGCACACACTCCAAACACACAACAGGACACACACACACACCAACCCCAGCCTGGCCCCTTTTTTTCTTTATTTGTTTTCAATTTTTGCATCTTATTTTTTTTTAAACACCCAATTTCCTGACACAAACCCGAAAAACATTTCTCGAAAAATACAGGACAACTCAGCGACCATGTCCCTCATGATAAAAAATGACAAAAAAGAATTCCTGGTTTTCTTTTTATTTTTCTTTAAATAATTTGTTTAAATCGAATTTCGTTTTTCGTTTTTTTTTTAAATCTTAAACGAAGTCGAATTCCAAAATAAAAATGATAGGATTGTAGGGTTTTCCAAGCCCTACAACCCTATATTTTTTTATTTTTTTTTACGTATTTTTAGGCTAGGCTACCAGCCAGGCCGCCCGGGTCCCAGCCCGTGCAAGACCCAAGGCCGGTCCCAGCAAAAAAAAAAAAAAAAAAAAAGAACAATCCAAAAAATCCGGAAACGAACTATGTTATGCAGAAAAATAAACTGAACAACTTTTGCCTTAGGGTCACATCGAGATTCTTCACCAAACTTAAAATATAAAATAAAATTCAAAAATATTTTTATTAGAACCCGGGCCACTCTGGTAGCCTAGTTTTTAGGGGTAAAAAAAAATATTAAAAAAACAGGCCGTGGGCTGGGCCTCATTGGCTGCGGCCACGGCCGACTTTTCGGCCGCGGCGGCCGAATTGCCCACGGCCTAGGCCGCGGGTACCACATAGGACCATAATCCCAAAGACCACAAGATCTTTTTTTTTTCTTTTTTTTTTTTTTTTTAGGAGAGTGCATTTTATTTCTTTAAGCCATCAAAAGGAGGCCGGGAATCCCTCCACATCTCAACCTGGATGTAAACCGTTGCTGGAAACCGGGTCCAGCGTCCCATCCAAAATGCAACTCTTAAACAAAAAGGCAACTGGATGACAAAGCTATCAAACCATCTACTCCCATCAAAAACCATCCCCCAATTCAACAAACTGACCTAATATGACTGGGAGGATTACCCAGCTTGGCTTTCCACCTACCCCTCCGGCAGAAGGAACAAAGAACAGAGATCTGAATACACCAACTGACACCCAGCTGTCCTTCTCTGGGAGAGGCAGGGCAGGGACACCCGTCCCAGGACATACCCTAGTTGTCAGCATAAGGACTAAAAACATCCCAAGTAACTGGCTAAAAGCGCCAGTCCATTTCCATCTCTGATGGGACGCCAGGCTTCGAAGGCCTGCTACCTAGAGACTCCACGGAGGCCTGTCAACGGTGACAGTTCACTCAGATATGGTGCGCCCTTTAGGACAAGGAAGCAACCAAGGGCTGATAACCAGTTTCCCCTCCGAAGAAACCGACGCAAAATATTCCTGGGCTGCCCAGGTACGGAGAAACCAGAGAAGACTCTTCCTTTGCCAATCCGCCAAAATGATCAATCTGAGCTGTGACTTGATTATCCCTTTTAGTTCTTCCGAATGTAGAGCTTCATTCCTAAACACTTTTTGATTCCTGGCGTGCCAAATCACCTTCAAGATGACACTCCTGCACACTTGGGCGACATATCCCCATCCAGAGTCCAATGCCATTGGCCCCGTAAAGCAACCTGATCGGATCCATGAATCAGTCCATGGTATTACAGGGGCACCACACTTGAACCACAGTCTCCTCCACCATTGCCATATCAGAACAGAACAAGGACAGTCAGTCCACAGGTGGGCTGTTGTTTCCAGGGCCCACCCAAAGCGGGAGCATTGAGAAGAAACAGTCAGGCCTTTAGAAGCGAGCCAGCCTGTTGAAGGTACAGACTGTAAAGACTGTAGCCAAAGCAGGCTTGCCGCTCTTTGATCCGGTAACTTTTGAAGTTGAGTCCATAGTTTCTTTATTTTCTCCTCAGTGACCTGATCCGCTGGGTGGTCATCCCACCTTTTAAGAGCTGAGACTACCGGCAATTTGATCACTTTCCTCAACTGTACAGCTCTACCTGTCTTCGTATCGTACTGGCTCAGGGGGGTGAAGGCCGACTGTTTAGGTATTCCTTTCCAGCCAAACAAATAAGGTTCCACCTTGAATGAGGAAATGGGGCATCCTCCTGAGCAGGTTTCCTTCCCGTCAGGGCCCACCTCTATCCACACCCTTGCTTCCAGTAAATCATTGTCCAGAGTCACTACCTCTTCGCCTTTGAGGCGTAGACGATCATTAGACTTAGCATTATCTGAATGGTCCCATACTTGTATCCTGGTTCCCTCTGTTGAAGGAGGACCGATCACACACCAATAAGTAGTCGAGCTCAAAGGGGACACAAACCAAGCAAGTGTCTATGGCCGGGTGACGGTCCGTCTGTAGGCAAGATATCCAGGCTGTAGGAATTGCTTTTTTCAAACAGTCAAAGTTATACTCAACATTATGCAGTCTGGGAAGCATCCTTCGAAGGGAAGCGTATGGGAGCCAATCATTAACATCGTTGTCCCAGATGTCCATCAGGAGAATTACCCCTTTGGAGCACCAGGTCTTTCCAAAATTATCTGTTGAGTCAACTGCTGAGAAAGCCCCACCATCCATCTGGAGGATTCGTGGATTGTCAAATAACGGTTGATTCAAGATCTCTGACCGAGAGGTCGGCTCCAGAAATTCAGATGGGCGAACTTTATTCCAAGTGAAGAGGATATGTCTCCAAACTGTGGATTTTGGTCGACGTTGTGAGAAGGAAGGCAGGCACAAACACGGCCAAATATCAGAGTGTTGTTCGAAATTCCATTCCGAGCCTAGTATATATTCTGCAAGTTGAATCCAGGCCTTACGTGAGTCTGACATCATAGCCAGTACCGGCCATTTGGCTAGAAGGGCTAAGTTCTGGTGTTTAGGGTCCAAGATGCCGAGGCCTCCCATCTTCTTAGGAGTAGCTACCGTTTCCCAGGCAACTTTTGACATAAAACCCTAATCTTCCGTAGCATCGGGTTTCCAGAGGAACTTGGTTGCGCAACGACGAATAAGTTTATATGCTTCTTCCCCTAATAAATGCACAACCAGCACAAACCACGAAGTGGAAAAGGCAGCAGCCGACAGGACCAACGCCCGTCCTAATAATGAGAGAAACTTGCCCCTTTCCCATCTTCCAATCTTTTCCAATATTCTTCGTTCCAGTAAGTTGTCTTGGATCTTCGAGCAGTTAGAGAGTGCCACTTGGACTCCTAGCAGTCTTTCTGAAGTATCCGCTGGTACTGTTCTCATTCCCCAATCCCCAGCAAAGGAGAAGGCATCTGGGAGAAGCACCACCGATTTTGACCAGTTGATTGAAGCTTCCGATAAAGCACAATAGTCATCGAGGACAGTGCGCAGTTCAGTTGTGGATTCTGCGGAGTTATCGCAGGCAACCGTCAGGTCATCTGCGATGGCCCCCCCTTTCCACTGGAAGGAGGGGGTAATGTTCAGACCTCTAATACGGTCGTTGTGGCGGATATTATCCAACAGCACATCGAGTTGCAGCACAAACAAAAGGGGTGCCAAGGGGCACCCTTGACGAAGAGAGCGCGAAAGGTTAAAAGGACTGGACAAGCACCCATTGACATTGACCACAGCTGTTGCCCTAGAGTACATAGCCTTAACCAGTTTACAAAAAAACGGCCCAAAGGCCATGTGTGATAGGGTCGTGGCTACGAACGCCCAGCCTACCTTATCGTAGGCTTTTTCCATGTCAAGAAGCAACACAGCTACATCCCTATTCTCCCGGCTTATAATCTCTAAGGCTTGCATGGTCGCTAGGATATTTTCAAAAATTGATCTCCCTTTTACAAAAGCACCTTATTCTGGTCCCATTAGTTCAGGCAAGTACCTTGACAGTCTGATAGCAAGGGCCTTAACTAAAATCTTGTAAGCTACATTTAAAAGGGAAATAGGACACCAATTTCAAATTTCTTTTTTGTCTCCCTTCTTACATAGGAGCGATATGATCCCTTTTAACAGACCCTTAGGAAGTTTCCCGGTAGATACTGCATGATTACAAATTTATGTTACAAAAACTCCAGAAGTTTCCCAAGTAGCTGTGTATAGCTCTACCGGGAGGCCATCCAACCCTGGGCACTTCCCTGTAGCCATCTGTCTTACTGCTTGAAGTAATTCTTCCGAGGTAAAAGGTCTGTCTAAGTCCAACCTGCCTGCCATCGAGATCCGGGCCTGGGTGCGGTCCCAAAAACCTGAGGATAAAGCAAGATTGGAATCAAAGGAGTCCATCGGACGGACTGATGTCAAAATGTCTGAAAAATACTCCGCAGCGTATGAACACATGGCGGAAGTGGTAACAGCTAGCGGAGTGTCGGGGGCAAAAGGATGTTGCAGTTGTCTGAGAAGAGGCTTCGTGCCTTGGATCAGGAGCGAACGAAAGGTAAGCTTAGTCATCCGGTCCTGTCCTCTTAGGCCCCTGATTTTTAGCCATTCCAGCCATTGTTGCTGTCTCTGTGTTTCTAGAAGTTTCAGTTGTACTAGCCGCTCCTTCCTGATTTTGGTCCAGTACAAATCACTATATGGATCATTCCCCAAGTTCGACTCCACACTTACTATTTCTTGCTTCAATTTATGTTCTTTGCGGTTCCGGAGAGTTGCCTTAAACTGAGAAAAGGTATCCAAGGCTGACTGTAAGATGCCTATGCCAGTATCCGCCCAATCCTCAAAATCAGAAAAAAATGGCTTCACTCCTTCCCATTTACGAACTTGATCTTTAACCCAATTTACCACTCCCTCATCTTTCAGATGAGAGGTGTTCAAACGAAAGGATCCCCGACCTTTCTGCACCCTGTCACCCGAGAGTACATCAGTTACAATTGGGTAATGATCAGAAATATCATAGATTTGCAAATCCACCCAGATACAACGTTCCCATATAGAACCCTTTGCTAAAATAAAATCCAATCTACGGCAAGGGGGGGGGGGTGTCTTCGTCAGGCTGTGATCCAAACCAGGAGAATCCAGGCGAGTCAGGGTAAAGAACACGGTAAATATCTAACAAGGACTGTGACTCCATAAATTCGACCAAGGTCTTAGTATCTGTGTGAACTGGGTTAAGACGGGGGGAATCCAACCCTGGGGTTATGATTGTATTCCAATCCCCGGCTATTACCAGGTTCTCGGTGTCCGGCAAGACACCCGGGAGGTCAGCGAAGAAGTTACAACGTTCCACATAATCCACCGGGGCATAGATCGACATTATCCCCCAATCCTCATTTCCTACAGCAGCCTTGACCCACACAAACCGGCCCCGAGTATCCACAAAGCTATCAATTATCTCAACATCTAGATCTTTATGAAAAAGAACTGCTACTCCGCCTCTTGTACCATCGGCAAGTGCCCAGACTTGCTGACCCGGCCACCAATTCCCAAATTCCTCGATTCGGGCATTGTCCAACTTGGTTTCTTGGAGACAGAGAATGTGTGCCGCTTGGGAATGAACCCAAGAGGACAAACGCAATCTTCTCTCTCTATCATTCAAGCCTATGATATTCCAGCTAACGAGTCTCAGACGGTGGGGTAGGACCATTTATCTGTCCGACCTCTCCGCCCTTTGCTTGGATATGGCGATAGGAACCTGCTGGAAACTTTCTGCGTTTGTCCTCTTCTTCCTCCCCCGGTTCCAACTGCGTCCAGGCCCAAGGGCTCTGAAGCGCAGCTATGAATTCGGGGGAGGACATGTGTTCTCTGAGTGAAGCGTGATTGAGCCAATCAGCTATCACCTGAGCTGTGATTCCCTCCGAGAGATATATCTTTACCGGTTTGGTGAACTGCTCCATCGGAATCCAGTAAGGGTACAAAACCTTGATCTTTTTGCCAATCTCTTCGCTTAACTGGATATTCATGACCGCGAAGTAAATACTTGCCTTGCACGTTCTTCTCCCAGAGGCCCAGTCAAATATGTAACGGCTTACTTTGGGCTCAGGCATAACTCTAGCATAACATACGCCTTTCAAAATTTTTCGGGCATGCCCTAAGATATCCAATTCTGAGGGTTGCCCATCAATCCTTACACAGGCCATGTCCAGAACCCCCTCCGACGGGGAGAAGGAAAGTACCATTGGACCGTTGGGCGCCTGCACACAAATCAAAGGAACCAAATAATCTTCGATCTTACCTTTGTCCGACCGAGCAGCGGTTGTCATGGGTAATGCCGAGGAGAGGGATCGTACCAATCTACTTTTCCCTCTCCCTTTCCGAGTTGCGGATTCCAACCCCGATTCAGACATCTCACGAGCTATCTTACCTGACCCTGGGGATTTTGGCAATCCAGCCAAAGACTCAGCGTCCGTTCGTGATTTCTTAGTCGGTGTCCCCCCGCCCTTACCAACGGGGGTCGGACCCTGAGGGCTCTGGTCCTCTTGTAAGCCAGAGGACTGTCCCAGGGGTACCATCAGTAATGGGTCCACGTCTGGGGTTGTCGTCGTTGGTTCTGCAGTAGAATTGAGATCCAGTTGCGAGGAACATGAGTATGGACGAAGCACAGAAATCCAGAATGCAAAATCACACTGAAGTCCAAGTAGTCAAAGCCAAAGAAGATAGCTCATGGAACCGAGTAACCATCCAATTGAGAATGATACAGAAGAATCGTGAGTCAATGTCCATGCCCAACAGGGCAACACCAACAGCATAAMCCAAATGTARCTCTCTCTTGTGAATGGCGCCAGGCGCCCTATCTACTCTACAGCTATCCTACAACTACAGCAATGAAAAGCAACCAGACAACTTGACTACCAACGAAGTGATGATGTCAACACCAATGTCGACCTCCACCATCACCAGGTACAACATAATATTCGTGAAAACCTAACAAAATAAATTGTTAGGTTTGCACGAAATTTTTTAAAGATTCTGATAGTACGTTTTTCAGGCCTCCTACATGAACAAAATTTTATGTAAAGTAAATTAACCGCAAAAAAGGAATAGAAAACTACTTTTTCAGAACCATAAGAAGTGATGAGGAGAGAAACAAGTTTTACTACAAAAAAACAGTACCTTGTAAAGCACCGTTAATTGACGAACTGAAATATCACAATTTTTTGTTTAACTAAAAAAATCATATTTATAGTTCTCTAAGGTATGTAGGAGGACGAACCTATTCGAGGGTTCCTAAACATGCACATATGCTCTCCTATTCACGAATACATTCGCTTGGATATGTTCTCTCATACAGGGACGAATATATTATTTTTAAGTGTTTTATTGAATAATTTTTTATTTTTTAATTTTAAATCATCGTTGGCTAGGAATTTGAAGATGTTTCCCATGCAAAAGTTGTTTTAATTCTTCTTTTACATAACATATATTTTTTGACAAGGGTTTTACAGTTAACTTAAAAATGGAGTTATATTAATTTATAGTTCTATAAACTCGATTTCGCAGAATCTGGTGTTTTTATTAAATATTTTTTATTTTTTAATTTTAAATCATCGTTGGTTAGGAATTTGAAGATGTCTCCGAATGAAAAGTTGTTTTAATTCTTCTTTTACATAACATATATTTTTTGACAAAGGCTTTACAGTTAACTTAAAAATGAAGTTATATTAATTTATAGTTCTATAAACTTGATTTCGCAGAATCTGGTTTTTACCAAACTGCTGAAAGCGACTTATAGTTCTATAAATGAGTATTTACTTAAACTGTTCTTTTAAACATCTTTCGGGTTCGCCTTGTAGTCGTTAAAGATTGTCTTATTTAAACTATGCTTTTTGTCAATCTACTGAGAACGACTTATAGTCCTATAACATGCTCTTTGTTAGAAATGATTTTCTTGCACATTTTGAGAATCGTTAGACTTTTCACCCGTTTTTTTGCCTCCTTTCTTAGGAAACAGTTAAAAATGCTGTTTTTTATGTGTCAAAAATAACAATTTAACTTTTACTTTTTCATTCTAAAAAAAATGTTAGGTTTTGTGGTTTTGTTAGGTTTTCACGAATTCATTGTTAAATACGCAAATGTCAAGATGTCTGGCTTCGGTACAAGGGCGCACATTTTTGAAGTGCTTCTTTGTTTTCTTTTTTCTCGAATGTTTGTGCGTCACAGTTTATAGAACAATAAACGAAATGGAAAATTCCGAAGCAGACATGGTTTTTTGCGTTTTAATTTATAGGACTATAAATACGCAAATGTCAAGATGTCTGGCTTCGGTACAAGGACGTACATTTTCGGAGTGCTTCTTTGTTTTATTTTTTCTTGCATGTTTGTGCGTCACGGTTTATAGAACTATAAATGGAATGAAGAATTTCGAAGCTGAGATGGTTTTTTGCATTCCAATTCATACGACTATAAATGTGCAAATGTCAAAACGTTTGGCTTCGGTACAAAGGCGTACATTTTTGGAGTGCTTGTTCCTTTTCTTTTTTCTCTCGTGTTTATGCGTCATGTTTTATAGAACTATAAATGAAATTAAAAATTTCAAAGCTGTCACAGTTCTTTGCGTTTTATGTTATAGGATTATAAACATGCAAATGTCGAGATGTCTGGCTTCGGTATTAGACCGTACATTCTTGGAGTGCTTGTTCCTTTTCTATTTTTCTAGTGTGTTTTTGCCTCTGGCTTTATAGAATTACAAACAGAATTCGGGATGTCTGAACTGCATCTGTTTTCTGCTTCTTTAATAAAAGGACTCTAAAGATGCACATGTCAAGACGTCCTGCTTTCGTACAACGCAATACATTTTGGAGTGTTCGTTTTCCTCCGTGGGTTTTCTTAACTTTCCTCTAAGTTTATAAGTGGTATCTAGTGTTGTGGAATAAATTGTGATATTTGCGAGGTTTGATCACAACAAAAAATTCATTTCTCGACTACAAGCGGCTTTTGGGATCACTTGTTGACCTGCTTTTGTATGTGATAAAAATGAGGCTCCGTGGACAAGCTTTCGTCTCACTAATCACCCTCTCCTAGCAGGAGCCTTGATTTGGTATATTTTCCATCACTAGGTGCGGCATACAACATGCAAAAGTAGCACCAACGTAGTGAAAATGAGTGAAAAAAAATTGGTTTTCTCTGGTCTATAAAGATTGTTTGGTTTTCTATGTTTGTTTGGTTTTCACGAATACTCTGTTGTACGTGTCATCTTCCCCACACTCTCCCTTGTTACCCACACAACGCCCTTCACCTCCGAAGTACCACCTTCGCCCTCACCTCCCCTGCACCCTCATGCGGCCCAGGCTATGGCCGCCAGTGCCCTCAGTGCAGGCAGCGCCCTACCGCCTAGCGCTGGCCTGCTTGCTCTTAGCGCAACACTGCCTTGCACAGCGCAGCACACATGCATCCGCGCAGCATGCCCGCAAGTGCCAGCATTGGCCAAGATCCCTGCTGCCTCACCCTGCTTGCCTATATGCCAATGCAGCATGTGGGCAGCCTCCCTTCAGCCTGCGACCGGGACCCAGAGGCTGAACCCATCCTGATACAGTTGGGCCCCGGAGCAATGCAGTTGTGCCTCTCTTCTCAAGGCCTGCGTCCAGATTCAGATAGTGGGCCGATTTTCCCTTTGGCATTACGGCCTCTCTACCCAGCATGCATTGTCGGCCTCACGTTCGAGTGCCCAGGGCCTAACTAACTCAGAGGCCCTAGGCATTTCAGCATTTGCTGAAATCCAAGACTCGGTGCACTCCAACCAACTGGCGTGCTGCAACTGTATAGACCCCACTTTGTGAAATGTTGGCCGAGAGGGCTCTTGTTGATTTGCTGGCCCGCCTTCACTTAGGGCGGGCACTAGGCTTGCTGGGGCCTTAGCCCAGAACATGTACATCATGGCAAGGCCCCTACTTGAGGGCTCAATCCTCACACAGTCCTGAAACATCGGTGATTAACAGAGTGTCTGAGTCTGTTGTTTCCTGCCTTGGTACTGTCGTATCCATCTCCGAGTGCATTGTGTTCTCATCAATGACTAATGGAGTATCAGCAAGATTATCAATCCAGGCAGAGCGAGATTGTTTCTCAGCAAGGAAGGTAGGGTTGTCATGGCTGGTGACAAAGGATTGGGGCGGCAGGACTGAACTCCCTCCCAACGGATTGGAACGTGTGCTTGCAGGATCTGGACATGAGCCCGTGGCCGCCGGGAACCCTTCCGCCACTCGAAGGGTTGGAGATATGCTCGTCGGGGCAGGGACCGACGCCGGCTGGTGGTGGATGACCTGGCGTCCCGGGGACAGCCCAGCAGACGCTGGAGCGGGACTCGCTGCGTGTGGGGACAACCCGGCACTTGAGGCCCGAACCCAGGTAGGCTGCTGGCCAAGCCCCTGGGGTGGGCGGGAGGGCTGGGGTTGCCTGGAAGTTGGAGGGGGCTGCGCAGCGGGTCCTTTCCCTCTCCCCCTCCTTCGTGGCAAGTTTGTTCCCGCCGGAGAAGGAGGAGGAGAGGGGGGGGAAGTCATATTTGGCATGTTACCTGCGTAACTTCCTTGGGTCTGATATCCTCGCCTTCTCTTCGCCGGGCAATCCGGGTCATCTTTAGTGTGATAATACCATCGACACACACTGCAACAATCGGTATACTGGCTGACGACTTCTAATTCAATAGAGCCGCCATCGTCAGGTAAGTCTATCGCAATGTACGAAGTGAAAAGGTCTTCGGCCGAAGGCTCCAGATCAAACCGAATATTCAACAGTTCGGGTTCTTCTGGCCTTGACGAAGTCGGGCCCAATTTTAGGATGCGACCGTAAGCCAATTTTACCGCATCGTAAACTAACGGCATCGCACCTATTGGGATCTGGAGAATTCTAATCCAAAAGACCTTATACCGTAACGTTTCTCTCCATTCCTGCAACTCTGCTTCCGACATCCAAGGCCGGAAGTACAGCGTGTACTTGACCCCATCTAAGACAATACCGTCCTGTTGTTTCTGATGGAGCCACACAGCTACTGCATCTGTACTTGGGACATATGTCACCAAGTTAATCCCCTCGTTATGGAAGAGGCCGCGCCTGGGCTCAGGGCCCAGCATGGGCATGCCTATCCATTTATCCTCATACATCCTGACGATTCTCTTCTTAAATTTTGCTGGTAAGGAGTCTCTCTTCTCCCCAAAGAAAATTGTCACCGCATGCTTAGTTAGCCATTCCTTCTGAGCCTTAAATACCGCCGGGTCAACTTTGACCCGAACGCAATTTTCCGTACGTTCCACCCGACTCTGGTCATCCGAGATGAGACCTGTGGGCAGAACTCCGGTTCTGTAACATTCTTCAATAACCTTCACTGTTCGGGCCTTATCTTCTTCTGTACCCACAGGATCGACGGCATTCTCCGCCATTTCAAAATTCCTGCTCCCGTTAAATAACTCTTAAACCTCAAATCACACCATAAATTCCCAAACCAGTCCAGAACTCGAGCTACAGCAAATTCCTGTTACTTGCCCTGGTTGAACTTCTCGAAATCAAAAATCTCTAAACCAAATCAGTTCAACAACAAGGAGCTAAGACAGGGAAGGGTTGCCCCGATTTGGTGGATTCAGCAGGCGGCATCTGGAGGTAGACTCAAGGGTCAGAAGGTAAATTGCTTCCATGTTGTTACATAGAACTCTTGGTCTACAATCTTGGAGTCTTGTCGTTGATAAATCCAGGACGATGTGTCGTGTGTTCATAGGAACGGGCTGCCTTCTTACAAGAATGCTGCGATTGTCTTCTCTTCCTGACCACAAGATCTTCACGTGACACCAGGAGAGCTACTGCTTCAAACACCCTGGAAGTCCCGTTCTTCTATGTGCTATAAAAGAGCAGGCCATGGGAATGGTACCCAAAGCAAACTCGCTCTGAGCCTCCTCTACAAGATACTGTGGTCAGAACTCCAAGCATACATTCAGAGAATCTCCACGTGACATCAGGAGCACTACTGCTTAAAACACCATGGAAGCACCACCATCTTCCATGTGCTCCAAAAGAGAAGCCCGTGGGAGTGACACCCACAGCAAAGACTCTCTGAGCCTCCTCGGGTGACCATGACTGCAAACAAACATTCCCGGCCAAAACAATTGTGCCCACCCACAAACATGCCTTTATCAACAGATCCCATGCTCTAGAGCAGGGCAAAGAATTAGTCCATGTATGAATAAAGAACAACCAACAAATTATCCAACCACAAAAAGGAATAGCTCGCTAGTACAAGCCCGATCCTAACATGTGTTGATCTGTTGTGTTGATGTGTTGATGTGTATGTGTGTGTGTATGTGTGTATGTGTGTATGTGTGTATGTGTGTATGTGTATGTGTGTATGTGTGTATGTGTGTATGTGTGTATGTGTGTATGTGTGTATGTGTGTATGTGTGTATGAGACAGACAGACAGAAAGTCAGGCCAACAATCGGACAGACAGATGGATAAACAGGCAGACATACAGACGGACAGACAGGCACACAGACAGACAGACAGACAGGCATACAGAGACAGACGGACAGACAGACAGACAGATAGATGAAGAGACGGAGAGATGGTCGAAAAAGCGAACAGAAGGATGGACCGATAGACTGACGGAGAAAGGTGGGCAGAGACAGGCAGGCAGATGGACCGACCGATGGTTTGTCAGCTCTGGAAGAGGACTCAATCCTCCCGGCAGTCCATTGAGCCAACTACTTCGTCTGACGGGGGTGCATTTTCTTTGGCTGAGTTGGGATGCTCTCTGCTGGAAGCAGCAGCTGCAAAGATTTGGTATTCAAATCATTTCAGTATTCGTGCTTTCGAGTGCAAGAACAGCGATTATGATTATTCACTGGCAATTTGGAGGAATATACCCGTCAGGTGCATGAACTTGAGGGGCACATTCTCACAAGAACATTCGAGTTGTGACGCATGCCCATAACCTTCTCCCTTCTTCATCTGTTGTCCGTCGTTTTTTTGATGTACTACTTCAGACTGCGGTTCTCACATCCATGGGATGTGGCCACACTTGGCCTGAGACTCTGCTTTATTTTTTATTTTTTCTGAGACACCTACGGCCGCGGAAAAGACCAAGCTCGATGGGATCACGTTTTTGCAGGTAAGTCACAGGCCGAGTTCCAAATGCAGTCTACCGTCTTCACCAGAATAGAACGCCCGGTCATTATAGTACATGGGTCTTGGAGACCATCTCACACAAGTGTGTACATGCCAAGCATCGTACTCCCACACACAACGAACAGTAGTCTGATAATAGACAAAGGTAGAGAAGATGAGAACCGAGTTTCACAGCTTATATTATCAAAAATATGAATACAAAGTGTTTCAAAGTTTCCCTGAGTCCAGCGCTCATCAGCGCAGCACCAATATCTTGCCAACTCATCAATATGCCTTCCAGTGAATCAGTGCTACCCCTGCAGATAGTCTCCAAGTCATCAATGTGGTCACCACACATCAATGCCACCTCTGCAGATCACATCCAACTCAGGTAAGTATCTTCCATAGCCAACCTTGAATGAACACTCTCAGCCTCAATCCCTTCCTCTTATGATGCATATACACTCTTCAATACTCATGAGGATCTACTCTGGATACTACTCATAGCTACATACTAACCCTCACTTCTAATGCCAACTCGCTGGGCAGCTATGGCTGCATTACTTCCAGCATACAGGCATCTTCCTTCCTCCAGCGCATCTTCTCCTCCAGCGCTGCTCCTCCTGACTCAGCGCACAAGTGCACCAGCACTTCCACGCATTGGCAGCCAGTGGAGATCTGGGTAAGAATGAGGCTGGCTGCCTCCTTTATACTCCTCGCTGGGTCTGTATTGGCTCAATCCAGCCTTCCTTTTGTCCCAGACCCTGCATTGCATGTGTCCCAGTAGCTGTCTCTTATACACATCTAGATGTGTATAAGAGACAGGTGCCTATTGACTTTACTTTCGGACAGGCACAACTCTCAACGAACAGACACATTTACTGCTTGAACAGACACTTTACTTGGCACGAACAGACACACTGCCTGCACGTACAGACACACCCTTACCCAAACAGACATGACATACACATCTCCTGGTGAACAGGTAAGTCTTTTGACAATGCCCTTTGCCTTAGTTTTAAATATGCCTGTTGATAGAGAACTTGACCTTTGACCTGCTTTCACGTTTCTGAGCTCTGACGAGATACCTTTTCACAATGCCTTACTTTTTCAAGGCCCGTGCTGCTTTATTTTTACAAGGCCTGAGGCCTATATCGGGTAAAGGCCCTTTTAATAGCCATATTTGATGCAATTTTCAGTCCAGATACCGCTATAATGACCGAGCATTCTATTCGGGTGAAGACGGTAGTCACTCAGGCTTACATTTCGAAAAAATGCAACAAGGCGCATGGCCGAGATATCGTGACCAGGACTCAGGTGTTATTTACCCGATTGGACTTCAATCCACAACGAATTCACACGTTCCCATACACGCATGCAATTGCAGAGGAGACTCGAAGGAAGCAAATCCACACAAAACCGGAGAGAAGATATGCACAGCGGAAGCTCAAAAATACACAGAGAATTGAAAAACGAATTAAATTTTCAATTCTGCAATCCCTCGTCGTCCTCCAATCAATCCAGTGTACTTGTTCCAAGAATCACAACCACGTTTACAACAACCCGAACAACCAAAAACAAGTGTTCAACGAAGTATGCATGCAAGAGTCTTCTTCTTCCTCCTCGCCACCTCGTACCACCCCTGGCTATGGCTGCCGTACTAGCAGCAGTAAACCCACAGCTGTCACAACGTGCCAATCTGAACCAGCAACGCCAATGATAGCAGCGCCAGCTCAGCGCCCACACGGAAGTGCAGAGCTGGAAGTCCTGATGAAGAAGGAGACAACCGATCCAGCATTTCGAAGAAGATGAAGTTCCTCGTGAGGAGGAACAAAGGATATGGCTGCCAAGTGGAAATGGCAGCGCCCAAACCCAACAACACAGTCCTGTGGAAGCTCTCATCCAGAGCTGCAAAATAGCAGCAGTGCAATCTTCAACTTCGTTTCCCAACCCCCAGCTATGGCTGGGCTTCGAGGAAGAAGATAACCTCGCCCAAAATAGAGCAGCAGTGCTCCAACAACGGACGGGCAGAGTTTCCCCAGCCAACGAAAACCTGAAAAGGCCCAAACCAAATTTCCTGCCCGCATACCTTTACCGGCCTTTTGGCTAAGATCAAGTGTAGTATCTGTTCTGATCAGCTTAATATCTGATCCGTGGTCCATCGAGCCAACCCAAAAAAAAAAAAAAAAAAAAAAAAAATTCCTGCCCGCTACTTCTACCCTCTGCATAGACCTAGGGGCCTACCAGTTTCCAGAAGGGCAGAAAAGGACAAAACATTGAAAACAACAAGCTTAGGTTGAAAGGCCTAAGACTACGAAAGTAGAGACTACTAGCGACAGGTTCAAGGTTCAAGCCCAATAAGGCTCAAAAACAGTCAAACACCACAAACACGCTACGGGTCATGGGATCAAGTCCCGGATTGACTTCAGCAACTGCAGAAACCGACAAAACAGCAATTTGAAAGCCTAAGGGTCTAAGACTGCCAAATAGGGACTAGTAGCTACAGATCTAAGGATCAAGCCAGTAGGGCTCGAAGCTAACAAACCAAACGTACAAATTACAGGTCACGGGATGAAGTCCCCCAAGGCCCAAAACAAGAAAACAAACTAAAAAACCAAACACTTAGTGTACAGCCCCACTAGGAAACTGTGATTTATTGCGAAGGCGTGAGGGGCCAGGGCCGGCCTCAACCAGCCCAGGTTCAGGTCGTACCCCTGGCACTCTTCATTTGTAGGCCCTGGCCCTCTTTACTTGCTGCACGAAAAACTTCATTCATTCGATCGGATAGATCGACAGCTGAGGGCAAGTGAAGAGCCAGGGCCTACAAGGCCCTGAACGACGTGGCCATTGACACACCTGTCCGGGAATGTACAGGACTAAACTGCAATTAAAACTCGGCCCTTCTAGACTGCAAAAACCTGTTTCGTTTGCAAAACGAAACTCAAAAGTTATTTCTTTTTTGAAGTTTTTTCTTTTTTTACCTTTTTTGAAGTTTTTTCTTTTTTTACCTTTTTTGAAGTTTTTTCTTTTTTTACCTTTCTTGAAGTTTTTTCTCTTTTTTTTTTTTTTTTTTTTTTTTTTTTTGTGTTTGTGTGTGAGAGAGAGAGAGAGAAAAGTACAAGTAAAGTTTTGCCAGAATCCTTCTTCTGCTTCTTCTGCTTCTTCTACCTCTTCTTCTTCCTCTTCGTCCTCTTCTTCTTCTTCTAAGCTTATGCTCACCTGCTTGAATGAGTACTTTCCCTCCCTATGTTCCCAGTTCCTTTTCTGCCCGGAGTGAGGAGGGCGAAGGGAGGAGGG